CAATTATTTCTCCACTGATTACAAAAACGGTATCAAAATTACAATGAACTGTATATGATTTATTGATGTAATCAATATGTAAATGTGAATATGTTCAACTAGGTAGTAGTTGATATAAATTAGTCAATAACGAACTGTATGTGCACACTTTAAAATGTCAGTTTTTTTTACAGGTTGAATCCACAATATAATAAATTACTGAGTTTTATATTTAATTCTTCCTAATAGATTGTTATAGACTATACTTGAAACTCTTTGATTCATAATACTGTTTACAAAAGCACAGGTTCGTTCAATATCTATGTTCATAATCCAGTTGATTTCAGAGATTCAGTGAACTCTTTCCTGGGTTTAGATAAAAAAAATATATATATATAAGGATTAATATAAAATCAAACAAAAGAATTAACTTGGGATTGATTTGTTTTTTTACCGATTGATATCAACTTGGGGAATTATTGTAAACTTGGAAATATTGGACAACTCTTTCGGCTTGATATGGAACTTCTTAGTAGAGTACACATAATGCTAGGGGATAAATTTAAAACTTCTGTATTTCATGAATAATATCATTTTACGTGTACAATCAACTTTCACTTAGATCTATCAATTTCTCGAAGAAATGATGAATTCATACACCATCTTGAACACTTTATGGTTAAATAAGAATCCATTTTAATCGTTATCTTTGCAAACTAACACCTGTATGTAAACTTCTGACTTTGAAATTAAAATATAAGATTGATGATTCCAGCTAGATATTATATGGTATCATGAAGAATTCGATTTCCGTCAAAAATAATGTTACTATCAGTATAGAGTTGTCGAAATTGTTGAGATTCTATTGATGGTCACGCAATAGAGTGGATTGGTTGAAGTTAGATATTAAGACCGTTGGGTGCCGGCTCAGTGGTCTAGAGGTTAAGCGCTGGCGCGTGAATTCGAGTCCTGCGTGTGGAATTATGGATGCTCATTTCTGTAGAATCCCGTATGATCTTAAGAAAACTGAAGCTCCCTAGAGGTTTCGATCCCGTAGCACCTGGCCTCATAATAAACGTTACCTATGAGCTGTTTAGGCTTCAACTGATCTCATATAGAACTGAGCTGTACTTACAATTGGTCAATAACTGAGTGGTGACCAATTTTATGCATGTCAATTCATTCTTAATGCTGATCGAATTCTATCGATCAATTTCTAAATCAAGTGCCGAACAGAGGAAAACCTAGATTCAGCGTGTTCCATCGACTACCTCAATCCACCATCTTACACTTCAACATAGTGCATGCGATGCCAAGTCTCTTAGACTAGTGACCATACTGCAGCTAGATCAATAGAATTCAATCAACATTACGGAGGTCTTGACATGCAAGATACTGGCTACTACTCTGTGACTAACTGAATGTAACTTATGTGGAATCATTTACTTACTTACTTACTTAATTACGCCTGTTACTCCCAATGGAGCATAGGCCGCTGACCAGCATTCTCCAACCCACTCTGTCCTGGGCCTTCTTTTCTAGTTCCATCCAATTCTTGTTCATTTTTCTCATGTCTATCACCATTTCCTGGCGTAATGTGTTCTTTGGTCTTCCTCTTTTCCTTTGACCTTCAGGATTCCATGTGAGGGCTTGTCTTGTGACACAGTTGGGTGCTTTCCTCAATGTGTGTCTTATCCATTTCCAGCGCTTCTTCCTGATTTCTTCCTCCACTGGGATCTGGTTTGTTCTCTCCCACAGTACGTTGTTGCTAATAGTGTCCGGCCAATGGATCTGAAGTATTTTGCGTAGACAATTGTTAATAAACACCTGTATTTTCTGGATGATGGCTTTCGTAGTTCTCCAGGTTTCTGCCCCATACAGTAGAAATGTCTTGACATTTGTATTGAAAATCCTGACCTTGGTGTTGGTTGACAGTTGCTTTGAGTTCCAGATGTTCCTCAGTTGTAAATATACTGCTCTTGCTTTTCCGATCCGCGCCTTCACATCGGCATCAGATCCACCCTGTTCATCAATGATGCTGCCCAAATACGTAAAGGTTTTGACATCTTCCAAATCTTCTCCATCAATTGTGATTGGATTGGTGCATTCTGTGTTGTATCGGAGAATCCTGCTTTTCCCTTTGTGTATATTGAGACCTATTGCTGCTCAGGCTGCTGCCACACTGTTCGTCTTCTCCTGCATCTGTTGTTGCGTTTAGGATAGAAGGGCCAGATCGTCTGCGAAGTCTAGATCATCCAACTGCATCTTAGATGTCCATTGTATCCCGCGCTTTCCTTCGAACGTTGACGTTTTCATGATCCAGTCGATCATCAGGAGAAAGAGAAAGGGTGAGAGTAAGCAACCTTGCCTAACACCGGTCTTCACTTTGAACGACTTTGTCAACTGTCCTCCATGCACGATTTTGCAGTGTAATCCATCATATGAGTTCTGTATGATATTGACTATCTTCTGAGGCACACCGTAGTGTCGAAGAAGTTTCCATAGTGTTGTTCTGTCCACGCTATCAAATGCCTTTTCGTAGTCAATGAAGTTGATGTAGAGTGATGAATTCCATTCAATTGATTGTTCCACAATTATCCGTAGAGTTGCGATTTGGTCTGTACACGATCTATCCTTACGGAATCCTGCCTGTTGGTCACGAAGTTGGGCGTCTACGCAGTCCTTCATCCTGTTTAACAATACCCTGTTGAAGACTTTTTCCGGTATTGAGAGAAGAGTGATGCCCCTGTAGTTATCACACTTGCTGAGATCGCCTTTCTTTGGTATTTTGATCAGAAGTCCTTCTTTCCAGTCTGTTGGTACTTGTTCCTCATCCCAAATCTTATTGAAGAGAATGTGGAGTATCCTTGCAGTTGCCGCTACGTCTGCTTTAAGTGCCTCTGCTGGGATGTTGTCCGGTCCTGCTGCTTTGCCACTCTTGATTTGTCTGATGGCCATACTGATTTCTTCAATTGTTGGTGGGCCAACATTGATTGGGAAGTCCGTGGGTGCTGCTTCGATGTTGGGTGGGTTCAGTGGAGCTGGTCGATTCAACAGTTCTTTGAAATGTTCTACCCACCTGTTTTGTTGCTCTTCAATGTTGGTGATTACCTTGCCTTCCTTGCTTTTCACTGGTCGTTCTGGTTTGTGGCGATTTCCAGAGAGTTTCTTTGTTGTGTCATACAATTGTCTCATGTTTCCTTCTCTTGCGGCCTTTTCCGCCGTCGTTGCTAAATCTTCCATATATTTACGTTTGTCGGTTCTGATGCTCCTCTTCACTTGTTTGTTTATTTCCGTGTATTCAGCTTGTGCCTTGGCTTTTTCTGCTCTTGTTCGGCTGGTATTGATCGCTGCCTTTTTGTTCCTCCTTTCTTGAATCTTATCCAGTGTACCAACAGTGATCCATTCCTTGTGGTGGTGCTTCTTGTGACCCAGGACCTCATGACATGTTGAAGTGATTGCCTCTTTGATCCCCTTCCAGTTGCTCTCCACAGTAGTTCCTTCTCCATTGAGTAGATCATGAAAGGTCTGGAACTTGTTGCTGAGGACTATCTTGAATTTGTTGAGTTTGTTAGTATCCTGGAGAAAGGCCGTATTGAACTTTTGTGATACTGTCTGCCCCGTTGTCCAGTGCTTCTTGAGTTTCAATTTCATCTTGGCGACCAGCAAGTGATGATATGATGCTATATCAGCTCCTCTCTTGGTTCACACGTCCTCTATAGTCCTCCTGAACGTTTTGTTGATGCAAATATGGTCGATTTGGTTTTGTGTAGAGTGATCCGGTGAAGTCCATGTGGTTTTGTGTATGCGTTTATGTGGGAATATGGTGCCGCCTATGACCAGCTTATTGAAGGCACATAGGTTTGCAAATCTCTCACCATTTTCGTTCCTTTCTCCCAGTCCGTGTCGTCCCATGATGTCTTCATATCCAGTGTTGTCCGTTCCAACCTTGGCGTTGAAATCTCCCATCAGAATGGTCAGGTCCTTTGTTGGGCACTTCTCGACTATTGACTGCAGCCTATTGTAGAATTGATCTTTAGCGTCTTCATTGTAGTCGTTGGTAGGCGCATAGCATTGGATGATGTTCATTGAAATGCCCTCTTTCTTTGTTTTAAACGAGGCTTTGATGATCCTTGGTCCATGAGATTCCCATCCTATAAGTGCATTGTGCGCTTGTTTGGACAGCATCAATGCAACTCCTTGTGTATGTGGTGCATTTTCTTCTTCATGGCCGGAGTATAACAGGAGCTCTCCTGTAGTTAGTCGTTGTTGTCCAACTTGTGTCCAATGTGTTTCACTGATCCCAAGTACCTCTAGGTTGTATCTTCTCATTTCTGCAGCAATCTGGAAGGCTCTTCCGGTGTCCCACATTGTACCAACATTCCGTGTACCTAAATAAATGGTCGCTCTGGTTGTCAGAAGGGGCATCGTCCTCGTAACTTCCGAAGGGTTTCGGCTTTCATCATGAGGCGTCATAATTCTTCTAAATGAAGATCTTCTGACTCCCAGGGCAGAGTTTAAAAGGTTTGAATAATTTTTTCTGGTTAGCGTTTTTTTAGCGAGTTAGTTTTCTACGGGATGGGGACGCTAACCCCATGCCCAACCCCCCTCCTTTATCCGGGCTTGGGACCGGCAGTGGCCCCCGGAGGGACTCCAGGCGGAGTTGGAATCATTTACAGTGTAACAATATTACAGTGCGTATAAGAGTCCAGGTTAACACATTTAAAACAAAGAGAATAAATATTACTTTTTAATTAGTTCCTTACCAAGACTCTACATTAGTATAAAAGTTTTACAAATAAGAATAAAATCAATGGCCAAATACCAACGTTTACGTATCAATTTAATTTTTTTTTAAACAGTATTCAATTAGTAACTAAGCCTTTAGAAAGTGAAATCTAAAGACACAATTACATAATCATTTAGTTATAACATCAGTGAGTATAAAAATTGAGTAATTTCAAAGCTGAGCAATTAAATTTCTATGTTGAGTGTTATTCATAAAACCAGTAAAACAATAATTAACAGAAAAAGGAAGGGGAGGAGGGTAAAGAAAATAGTGATTGATGACAAACTATAATAACGATTGAATTTTCATCTAAAACAAGGAACATCATAAATAATGTCACTATTCAACTAATTTTAATCACAGTCATTTTATCATTTTCCGGTGTTTAGATTAAATCAATCTATAACAAACATAATCTATCATAAATATTAGCTCATAGGAATGAACTAAAAATTAGCTTCCATTTTAAGTGAATAGTAGCTTGAACGGTTGCCTAACACGTGAGAATATTTTACAGCTATTTTAAATTGTAACCTAATTTCTAATGTCTACAAATCTTTACCTTTTTTTTGAAAACTCTATGTACTTAACGATTGACATTTGAAATATTGAGTTGAAAAATGAGTAGTATGAATGATACAGTAATTGTGCCAAAGTTATTCTTTGTTTTTCAATCGATTGGCTTCATACGGTTCATTTTCATAGATTGCAAAATATAAGTTAATTTTTAAAATTCACTACTTTTAATGTACTGTGAATGTGAAAAACAAAGATGTACACAGAGTCTTACATTCTGATGCCTACTGGTAGTAGTAGTAGTAGTAGTAGTAGTAGTAGTAGTAGTAGTAGTAGTAGTAGTAGTAGTAGTAGTAGTAGTAGTAGTAGTAGTAGTAGTAGTAGTAGTAGTAGTAGTAGTAGTAGTAGTAGTAGTAGTAGTAGTAGTAGTAGTAGTAGTAGTAGTAGTAGTAGTAGTAGTAGTAGTAGTAGTAGTAGTAGTAGTAGTAGTAGTAGTAGTAGTAGTAGTAGTAGTAGTAGTAGTAGTAGTAGTAGTAGTAGTAGTAGTAGTAGTAGTAGTAGTAGTAGTAGTAGTAGTAGTAGTAGTAGTAGTAGTAGTAGTAGTAGTAGTAGTAGTAGTAGTAGTAGTAGTATAGTAGTAGTAGTAGTAGTAGTAGTAGTAGTAGTAGTAGTAGTAGTAGTAGTAGTAGTAGTAGTAGTAGTAGTAGTAGTAGTAGTAGTAGTAGTAGTAGTAGTACTGCTAGTAGTAGTAGTAGTAGTAGTAGTAGTAGTAGTAGTAGTAGTAGTAGTAGTAGTAGTAGTAGTAGTAGTAGTAGTAGTAGTAGTAGTAGTAGTAGTAGTAGTAGTAGTAGTAGTAGTAGTAGTAGTAGTAGTAGTAGTAGTAGTAGTAGTAGTAGTAGTAGTAGTAGTAGTAGTAGTAGTAGTAGTAGTAGTAGTAGTAGTAGTAGTAGTAGTAGTAGTAGTAGTAGTAGTAGTAGTAGTAGTAGTAGTAGTAGTAGTAGTAGTAGTAGTAGTAGTAGTAGTAGTAGTAGTAGTAGTAGTAGTAGTAGTAGTAGTAGTAGTAGTAGTAGTAGTAGTAGTAGTAGTAGTAGTAGTAGTAGTAGTAGTAGTAGTAGTAGTAGTAGTAGTAGTAGTAGTAGTAGTAGTAGTAGTAGTAGTAGTAGTAGTAGTAGTAGTAGTAGTAGTAGTAGTAGTAGTAGTAGTAGTAGTAGTAGTAGTAGTAGTAGTAGTAGTAGTAGTAGTAGTAGTAGTAGTAGTAGTAGTAGTAGTAGTAGTAGTAGTAGTAGTAGTAGTAGTAGTAGTAGTAGTAGTAGTAGTAGTAGTAGTAGTAGTAGTAGTAGTAGTAGTAGTAGTAGTAGTAGTAGTAGTAGTAGTAGTAGTAGTAGTAGTAGTAGTAGTAGTAGTAGTAGTAGTAGTAGTAGTAGTAGTAGTAGTAGTAGTAGTAGTAGTAGTAGTAGTAGTAGTAGTAGTAGGAGGAGGAGGAGGAGGAGGAGGAGGAGGAGGAGTATTGTCTGCTCTACCAGTGTGAAATTTACTTACTTACTTACTTACTTACTTACTTACTTACTTACTTACTTACTTACTTACTTACTTACTTACTTACTTACTTACTTACTTACTTACTTACTTACTTACTTACTTACTTACTTACTTACTTACTTACTTACTTACTTACTTACTTACTTACTTACTTAATTACGCCTGTTACTCCCAATGGAGCATAGGCCGCTGACCAGCATTCTCCAACCCACTCTATCCTGGGCCTTCTTTTCTAGTTCCATCCAATTCTTGTTCATTTTTCTCATGTCTATCACCATTTCCTGGCGTAATGTGTTCTTTGGTCTTCCTCTTTTCCTTTGACCTTCAGGATTCCATGTGAGGGCTTGTCTTGTGACACAGTTGGGTGCTTTCCTCAATGTGTGTCTTATCCATTTCCAGCGCTTCTTCCTGATTTCTTCCTCCACTGGGATCTGGTTTGTTCTCTCCCACAGTACGTTGTTGCTAATAGTGTCCGGCCAATGGATCTGAAGTATTTTGCGTAGACAATTGTTAATAAACACCTGTATTTTCTGGATGATGGCTTTCGTAGTTCTCCAGGTTTCTGCTTGCTTGATAGATAGATGCTTGCCAGATACGAAATACTAATATTTGATCATTCTTATTAATTTTAGGTAGATTCATGATAACTTTATTACCTAATTCAAACTAAGTTAATGGACTGATTCATTTTTGCATTGGATGTTTGAATCAGTCTCTTATAGGTATATGTGCATCCTGTACGGATTACCTTAATATTATTTTTAAGTTACAAGCATTATGAGCAGAGATGAATGATGACTAGCAGTAGAATTTTGGACTCGCACTATTTGGAACTCGTCATTTGGATGTACTTGCATTCCACAGTTGATATTCTTTCTGGGATTCGAATCCAGTACCGTTCACTTCAAATACAATAACCTTATCCATTTATCTACTGAGTTATGATAGCTACTAGCTTGTGCAATATAGTGAAGTTTTAATACATTCTTTATTCATCTTTGTTTATATGTTAATGAATTATTGAACAATGAACAAAGAGATAGAAAGGAGAGAGAGAGAAAAAAGGAAAAGACTAGCGAGAAAGAAGTAATTCAATTAATCCAAACAAGCCGATCAAAATTAGAGAATTCCCTTATTAAAGATTTTTTTTAATCGGTCATTATTTAAGTCATTTTATCTGACTATATCTATAATATTAATCGAGTGACTATTCTATGGTCTAGTCAGTCAGGCAGTCAGTCAGTGATTGGTCATGACATTTTTGGTTACAATTGTATTATGATCAATAAACAAATAAAAATGTTAATAGTTGAATAAAAAATCAATAAAACAAAAATATAATTATCGATTCATTAATATATTATTAGCAGAAGAACTGATGACTCAAGGTATAAGAAACAGTTTAAGTGTATAATGTGATTAAAAATAGACTGATAGCAAAATATGAGAGGTACATTTCAATTTGTTTTCTTGTTACTTGTCTATTAAATAAGTAATTGAGAAACCTATTTGAAGTTAGATATTAACAGTGTTGGATGACGGTTCAATGGTCTAAAGCTTAAGTATTCACGCATGAGACTGATAAGTTCTGGGTTCGAATCTTGCGAGACGATATCGTAAATTCACACTGCTGAGGAGTACCATACTAGGAAGAAACGGTCATTCAGTGATCTCAAGTTTTTCATGCTGGTCTAGCTTCAATTGATTCATGTATTCATCTACAAAATTACTATAATATCCACAAAACTACTCTCTGATTAACTAAAATGGTCATTATTTGCATAAAATGAATTACTTATTATACATTCATAAACTTCGTTTAAATGGACTGATTATCATCGATTTGAATGTTTCCAGATGTATGTATGTATGAATGAAAGATCATAGAATAAGTGTTATTTTTTCAATGGCACGTGAACTAAACCAAGTTGAAAGATGTAAATGAAGATTTTTACACACATTATATGTATTTCTAATGAAAAATAAATGAAACAGTTAAATGTAGAAATTACGAAAGAGCAAGTACAGATTAATGTACATAATGATTATTCTCGACGACTTGAACATTAAAACTCATTAAGATGCTAGATTTCTGATATAACGGGATAAAAAGGAAAAATTAGATTCTTCTACATACTGTAATTTCTGTTCAACAGTACTTCCGTTTTAAATCAATTGTTTTACTTTCCCGTATGATATTTTATTCTGTATTCAACTGACATGAATTACACCCAGAACGACATGCAGTATATGATTTGTTATAACTCTAGGTATTTGACATATATTTGATTTCATCCTAATTAATAATCGAAATAGATGTACAAACAATATATAAATGAGTGTCTTTTTGACTGAGGTTGTCGTTGTGTTTTGGGATCAATAAATCTTCATTTGTACCAGTCTTCGTGTTCTTACTTTCGCGTCGTGGGAATTGCAATGGTTCCTCGTGTTACAAGTATAAGTGATAAACGATTTCGACATAACAATTATCGACGATCAGATATATACCAATTGGTGATACAGTCATAACAGTCGACAACCAGTAATATTTTACGGGTTTTTTTCAAACGTTACTTCTATTGTTTAAAATAGTAAAAGAAATCTAGTAGTTTTTGAATGAGTCTAATATTATCTTCAATTAAAGGGAGTGACTTCAATCTTTGTGATGTATTGCTCCAAGGTTTAAACATACCATGGTTGTTACAGAAAATAATGATATTCCATCATTTAAAGATCCCCGTCATATTAAAAGACGAATAATATTCTTTTCGATAAATTCTCTTCAGGTTCTACAATTATATATCTAAATTAATAATCCGAAAAATGGCCAGGTTAGGGGCAAAGTATATCGTTTAAAGCATGTGGATTTAGGATTGTGATAAACAAAATACATGTGTTGTTAATAGACTAAACAACCATCGAATCGGTTAAATATAGAATTGTTACTTCGAGAATAGGATTTTGTGAATTCGAAATAATATAACGAAATTGAACTAATTCCAATAAGTCAAGAACAATTTGGTTATCAAATAGGATTTTATTATTTTGCTTTGGCAAATCTGTCAATAGGAACGAACCATATTGTTGGCTTATGTATAGTTGGGTGGGTAATTTACTGATGCACATTTTATTTTATTCTGACATGAACGATATATTCCCAGTGAAGCCGTTTATTTTATCTTCGGAAACAATGTATGTTAACCGACAGCTCAGTTGACTAGAATAAACGATAGGTTATCCATATCTTATGAGAAAGCTCTGTGGCATCTTACACAAAATCTTCATTTTTGTATTCTCTTGTTTAACCGGAAGAGGAGAAATTGGACACGATTATAGTTGGCAGTAGGTAGTTGCGGAGATTTCTTTACACGATGATATGTATACGGAATTTCAACCATAATGACTAGTTGTAGGTTTTGTTCGTCACAGATTCGTTACAGTTGGTTACCATTGAAAGACAAGAAGCACTAGACAGTTGTTTCATCTCAGTACGGAAATTCAAAGCAATAAGAACGCTCGACTATAACGGCGACTTATTTCAAGATGCTCCTGAAATTCTAGTAAGCAGCTGTAACCGGTAAGGTTGATATATCTCGGGAGTGGGACATATGTCACCAATGACAATGGCTAACTGTCACGTTTCATTCCAAATGAACTGAAGTTAACTTTGTACCACTGAACGCTTACCCAATATTTCTAAAGAATAAGCATCGGTCGCGAGACGTTAAGGTCACAGCTTCGATTCTTAGCTGTTTTTTATATGTGTACTGCTGAGTAGTCTCATACTAGGACAAAATTGTTGTCTAGTATATCCTTGTATTCAAAGACAGCCTGAGCGAATTTAGTCTTCGATCAGTGCAACCTATAAATTAAAACTTTTTCAAACAAACCCTTCCAACAACAATAGCAGTTAACCGTCTAACAAAATAAGGGATAAATTCTGAAATTATCTTGAATTATCAGTATAGGGTTGTGAAAATTGTTCACTTTAGATTGATATCATGAATAAACCAATGTTAGACCACCATTAAAGACCTGAAAGCACTAGACGGCCGTTTTGTTTTAGTGTTGGACTTCTTAAAGGTGCACAGCTACGATCTTGCACGCGCGACTCGAACCAAGCTACTCACTGAAGACAATGGTGGATGGTCGAGCAATATTGTGGATTGGTTGAAGTTGGGAATTAACAATGTTGGGTACCAGCTCAGTGGTCTAGAGGTTAAGCATTTGCATGCGAGACCGGTCATGGTTGGAGTCCTTCATGTGGTGTAGTAGATGAGCACTGTTGGGGAGCCCCATACTGGGACGAAACGGCCTCCTAGCAGGTCAAGGTCTTCAGTGGTGGTCTAACATTGACCCATTCATGATATCTATCTAAAATTCGTTAAAAATAATCAGTACAGATAAATTTCTATAGTGTGTGGTTGTAAATGAATATTTAGATGATAACGATGTGATGAAAAATTCAAAGAATAAGTAACAAATTCAACTAATGACTGTAAATGATTACTGACTAATTGAATCAAAATCTCTTTCTGAACTCTTATCAAACACGTTATTAGGTGTATTGAATTCAATAGTGGCTTACTATTGTATGATTCATTCTACACTAAATATCACTTAGATAATCTGACTTTATAAAACTGTACTGACCTGCTGCTTGCCAGACACATTGAAATTAAAAGCAAAGAAGGGAATGCAGGTACGTCCAGTTGACGAGCCTTAAATCGAACGGAACGCGAATCCTGGATTCCACTACTAGCCACCATTCATCTCTACTTAAAAAATAATGATAAGTTGAAAACAATGTGGAAGCTATTTGAATGTTACAATGGAGGTGTCAATAAAATATCACGCATATGCTTCGTTTCAGTAAGCTATATAAAAAGTACTCTTCTGTTTCTGATTGTGGAGATTGTTGAATTTCATTGAAATCATGAACCGATCACTGATTGATTCATGATTCAAAAGTACTCGTTTCTGAACTAGAATAACATTGTTGCAATCAGGTTTCCCTTTACATCAATAAAATATTCATCCAGTTGTGTTACAATATTATCGACTTATCCTTTCCAAACGTCAATATAATCTTGCCGAACACAGTAAGATGGTGTTGAATAAACTAAGTATAATTATTTAAATGAATAATATCGATTCATTTTCTTTCGTTTGGTTCTTTTTAT